GCACATTCTCATCTTTCCATTTTTCTTTGGCACCAGAACTACATTTGCCAACCATTCTGAGTACTTGACCTCTTTGATGATGTTTGCATTTAACAATCTCTGAACTTTGGCTTTTCTTTGCTAAAATTCTCTCTCCAACATTTCCCTTTGTTGCTTTGCTTCTTTGGCTTTATTCTGGGATTGATGTTAAGGGAGTGCTGTATGATGTCACTGCTTGACCCCTTTTAGGTCAGAGGCTGACCAGGCGAAGACGTCTTTGTTTTTGGCTAAGGTTTCTATGAGCTCTTCTTCCTCTTCTTTTGACAGGTTGCCTCTGATCGTGACCTTTCTGTCTGGGTCTACATCTACCAATGGGAATTTTTTTTGTTTCTTCCTAATCCTTGAGATTTATTTTTCCCTTTGGCATGTTCGAGGCTCTGTTGAATTATTTTTGGTACTTGACGGAGTTGATGTTGTCTTTGCGATTTGTAGATGGCCCTTTCTATATTTCTTGCTTCCTTCTGGCTGCCGTGAACTGTGATGATTCCATGCAATGCTAGCATTTTCATACACAAATAACCCATATGGATGGCTGCATTGAATTTGTTTGTGAACCCTCTTTCGAAGATGGCGTTGTAGGGGTAGTAGAGATCGACCATGTCGAAGGTCACATATTCTGTTCTTGCATTTTCTTGACCTCTGAAGGAGACTGGGAGGAGATATTTTTCCTAATGCATCTATCCTCTTTCCTCCAAACCCAATTAGTGGTGAGTCCGAAAGGCTGCAATGGCTGGCTCCTACTTAGCTTCATCTAGTCAAAGGCATTTACAAAGATAATATTTGCAGAGCTTCCGGAATCCATGAGAACCCTATTGATTTTGCCATCCTGCAATGTTGGCCATGATTACCATGGCATCAGTATGAGGGTACCTCACTAGCTGCAATTTTGCTCAAAAGGTGATTGGGGTCTTCGACCAATCTGTGTAGCGCACTAGGCCTTAAACTGCTATGTTGTTGACCAACCTAAGGTGATCCTTCTCCTGCTTCTTAGTCTAGAACTCCATGGAGGAGCCTCCACTATAAGCGATATCATCTTGATGGTTGGTAGGGGTGTGTGAGGGTTGAGTTGGTTTTCTAGGTTAGGTTCATTTTTGGGTGTTGCTTGTTTGTGTTGGTGGAGGCGGAGGCAACGCCTCTAGCTTGTCTATTGTGTATTTGGGATGGCTAGTTGGTCTCGATGAATGTTATGTCTGGAGGCCTTGGGTTTATGTAAGTGAGGTTGGCCTCCGCCCGTTGATTGTTAGTCAGCCCCTGCTGCTGAGTACTTGGTCTCCATGCGGGTAGGAAGTTTGGGTTGTGGCGTGACTAAAGTGGACGGGTGAATTTGGGTGGAGTTTAGGCTTTGGTATATTAGGCGGTATTCTTCTGCTGAGGTCTTCATGATGGTATGGTTCACCTCTCTAGGGGGTTGTTGTGGTGGAGGTGGCAGATTTGGTCTGCTTTTGATCCTTTCCTAGGTCTCTTTGGCGTCTGGGTAGTCCCTAGTTATGTGACCTTTGTTTTCTCCATGAAAGAAACAATACTGCCTTTGCTGCCTTTGGTTTTGGTTTTTGTTCTAGTTCCTCCCTTGGCTATTTCCCATGCCTTCGGATTATCTCTGGGCGCATTGTTTGGGCCTGTCTTCGCCGATTGTTGCCCCTGCTAGCTATTATCTTGTTGTTCTATATTGAAAACTTGTTGGTTTTGCGCTTACTGAGCTTGCGGCTGTCCTTTGTTTTTGTTGCCCTTTTGGGTGTTTCTGTTGTTGCCCTGGAACTGCTTGCCTTGGTTTTATTCCTCTAGTCTTCTACGGAGGTCGTTATCAGATCTGCAATACTTCTCGAATTCATTAAAGAGATCTTTGATAGTTCGAGACTTTTCCCTTGCTAGGTGAGCTGCAAATGGGCCTATGCGAAGGCCTTTGATTGCTGTTTCGATAGCAATGTCTTCTGGGACATTGGGTGCTTTTGCTTTCATTTGCATGAATTTCTAGAAGTAGTCCTTTAGGCTTCTCCTTGATTTTGCTTGCATTGAAACAGGTCCATGGAAGTCAAGGATTCACTTGCAAACCCCTTGAAATTTGCTAAGATCTTGTTGTGGAGGTCTTCCCATGAATAGATAGAGCTTGGCCTTAGCATTGAGTACCGAGGCTAGCGCGCCGCCTTGATTGCGATGATGAAGGACTTAGCTAGCACCGCTTCGTTTCCGCCAATGTGAGGCTCTTCTGCTGCCTCAAAACTCATGATGAATTGTCGTGGGTCTGACCTTCCATTGAATTTAGGTAAGGTGATGGGTTTGTAGGAGGGAGGCCAGGGTGAGCTTTGGATGCCTTCAGACAGTGGTGATTTGGAATCAATGGTTTTGTGGGGTTGTGGCGAAGTGTGGAGTGTACCGAAGGTTGGTTGTGCTATGGAATGTGGCGGTGGATTGGGTTGGCTTTGATTTGCTGAGTTAAGTTGGTTGTCCGTGTTAAAGTTAGATTGTGAAGGCTGCATACTTTGTATTTTGTCCTGTAAGATGGCTAAGCTGCTTCTGATCTTCATTGCTGAGTGATGCTTGAGCTGCCCGTTGATTTGATGCGAAGGCTACTATGACCCTATCTCTTTCTTGTTGCATGCTCTCTGCAATCGGGCTCATGTTATTGAAGCTCTTGCTCTAGAGTGGGACTTGGGGCTTGCTTTGCTCCTCACGATGCAGTGGTCTTCTTTGACCGTGGGCTCTTCCTCAACTTGATCTTCTATGGTTGTAGCGTAGGTGCTGCGGGCACTACGTCTGGGTCATCCTCTTGTCGAGGGTTCTGTGGGAACCCTGATGGAGGCTGCTCTCTTTCTTGCCATCGAGGGTCTTGCTTGGACAACATGAGGTGGACGCCAATGTTGGAAAACGGGGGTTTCCAACAGGTGGGACTATGAAAAGCTAGCCGATGGCCTTCGCCCGGTCGAATGTCTCAGGCAAAGGGGTGCTAGGTGGAAAGTGGGGCCAGGCCAATTTAGGGTTTCATAAATGCACTCAACTAACTCCCCCTATATAGTGTTTGTGTTCCACTTTTATAGGGCACCACTTAGTAAGGCTACTTTTCACAATGCAACCCCTTGTCAGTTACAGTTCATCCTTGGAATATTCCTATGCTAATATAGACTACTAAGGGTAATTTCGGGTGCCTTCTTCTTCAATCGCCTTTGCTTGATGGGCCATGACCGTGAGCCCGTCAGCGGCCCATGGCCCGGCACCGCCACCCTTCAAGGAGTCCCTAGACTTTCGGAGCCTTCGCCCGGGGCGACCTTCGCTTGTACTTGCGCACCGACTCCCTGTAGCCTCCGTAGGCGCCGCCGGAGCCTCCACCATTGGCTACTCCCGGGCGCCTTTGTTTCGGTTGCTGGAGCCTCCGCCCTAGACTGCCATTTGGGTGCCTTCGCCTTGGTCTTGGGACCTTCGCCCCGAACGGCTAACCAAGCGAAGGCCGCCGTCTTCTCGTCTTGCGCATCGTCCATAAAGTTTGTTAATCGTTAGCTTTAACTACGGCTTCGGTCTCCAGCCTCCGCGACTCATAACCGTATCCCAACACAAACTCTTTTCTAGATAATTTTCCATAGTAGGTGTACAAATAATTATTGCAGTGTTGAGAAGGCCCTTGCCATAGCAAGTACAACAGAGCACAAGGATTACTCAAACTGACCTTAACTAGCAGGAACCCCCGTGCACCTGCACGGGCTAGCTAGCATATATATGTAGCATGAGAAGGTACAAACAATGCAAAGGACACAGTGAAGAATGAGCACTAAGTAGCAAACGGGCCAGATAAAATGTCTGCGCATGTCTTGTATGTTTGTATCAACTATGATATTTCGAAGCAGGACACCACCATAGAGGTAAGCAGCAAGTGGACAGTTGGAGTTTTTTGACAACAATACTTAGGCCAGACCTATGAATGTACATTGTACAGGTGGCGCCCGGCGGCGGCGCAAGGAGGCAGGGGGCCAGCTGGCATCGGTGCGGTGCTGTTGCGCTGCGGGCGTTTTTTTTCTTTCTCTTTTTCACGGCTGTGTGGTGTGTGTAAACATTGGGGAGAGTTTCTATGTCCTGTGCGTGCACGGTTGTATTTTGGTGCTTGAGGGTACCCTTTCGATGACACTTAAACAGTGGCTTCTGTAGGCTACGCCGACACTTGTTTTGTCTAGTAACTTTTGTCGACAGTTTTTCCGTCAAAAGGAGCAATGCTGACACAGAATGTGTAGCCTTACAGTACTTTTGGCGACAGTTTATTTGACACTAAAAAGTTATACAATTGCCAACAGATAATGTGTAGTTAACAACTATGATTTACCAACACATAAATGTAGCGAAAAGTGGGTCATGTTGTAGTGTCACGTTCTGTACTGAAACACATGAAAATGTACCAGGCATGCATAACTGTAACGTTGTGGCAAGCACCGAGCATGCATGATATCTGAAAACTCTCAAGAAGTTGTCGCGTGCAAGCTACAATTTGTGAAGAAATAAATATCTGACTTGCCTTGATAGAAGCAATCGCACCATTTGGAGTATAAACAAACGAGAAATTGATGTGAGGCTTGTTATGTACATTCACTTGCAAGCTGCATTTCCAGACACACCATAAACCAGCTAGCAAGATGAAATAAGCTGTATCATAATGTTTGTTATGTAACGACTCAACTTATTGTATATATACATGCCTCTCAATTCTCAAGTGGCAAACTGCATCAACATTCAACAGTAACACAGCTGCAAATCACTGAAAAAAACCGAACAAATTCGCATCACATTCTAGTCTCCTGTTATTTGCGATGTCAAATATCTGACCGCCTCAGAACAACCGGCTGGCTAAAGAAAATGGAATAAATTCACACACCACAAACTATGCATTTGCTGCTTCTTCAGTCAAAGCGATGGCAGCTCCAAGGATCCTTCTGTCCTTGTAGGTCACCGACGGGCACTCCTGCATGCATTGTCGACCAGCAGTGTCAGACGACACGTTCTTCTTGGATTTCATCCTTCGAAGTTTCCTCCACTTCGTCCAACAACACTTCCTCTGTTTCATCCCCTGAAATGGCACATCCAGTCAAGTGACGAGATATTCCAATAGCAAGAAAGGTACTCAGTATGCAACGTAAGCAGCAGGTGTATTAACTTACCAGATGAAGCGTTAGTAGAGGGGCTGATGTTTGTCTTCAAGCTCAAAGGATCTCTCGTGTACTTCACGTACCACTTCCTTTCAATGTTGTTTTCCTTATCATCTGCATGTGCATTGACCTGCTTGATATGACTGAACTTGTTCCACTCAGAGCTAGATTCCCCTTTTGCTATGGAAGCGAGCAGCGAGGCGTTGCAGTCTAGATCAAAAAGCCTTGGGTTTGCGTCCTTCAGGTATCTGGGGAGTGTTTTCATGTCGTAATCCTCCAGATCGAGTCTCTGAAGTGCAGGCAAACCCTCTAGTACCTTTAACTCTGGGCACTCTATGATCACGAGGTTATGGAAATTTGGCAGATTGCTGATCCTCTCGAGGCTAGGACACATAGACACAGTAATTTTCAAATTAGAACCAAAGTTTTCCACAACGCTTTGGTGCTCATGATGGTGTGGTTGTAAGAACTCTCAGCCAACATGCTTGATGCCTGGGGCTTTATTAATCTGTAGGAACTCCAAGCTGGGGAGCTGGCACAAGCTGTCGGGTAGCTCCATGCAATAAGGCAAGTCTTCCATCGTTAGAATCCTCAAGCATCCAAGGGGCACAATTGATGTCGACATCATCGACTTTGGAAGTCGTTGACCAAAGTACCTTTTATCCTTGGATTTTCTAAGCAAGGTGGAGGGCAGATCTCGTCAAACACCTTCTCGATTTGTTGCTGCTCTTCCTCTTTTATCAATCGGTGAGAACCTCCACGTCCACTAGTGCACTGTAAGCACAGATAAATGAGGTGCACCTTTTCACCAAGCTTAACCTTTATAGCAAATGTGGAATAAGATACATTCTCCAGGCCACGAATATCAAGACTCGTGAGCCGGTTAAGAGGTCCTAATTCTTCCAAACTACACCAATCACCCTCCACGTGGGCAGGAAACCCCTTCAATACCCTTAAATTAGTTAGGCCACTGAAACCCCTGGGTATATTATTTATACCGGAGTTAAGAAGGCTTAGATACCTCAGCTGCCGTAACTTTCCAATGCCACCAGGAAGCTTCACCATTCTTTTACAATTACAAAGGTCAATGCACCGCAATAATTTCATCTTGCTATTTTTTCTGGCAGCCTAGATGTGTTAGGGCCATCTAGGCACAAATATCTCAAGTGTTTCAGTTGGACCAAAGATTTAGACAATGCATAAAAATTTCCATCTTCTATATGTAGGGTCCGCAAACATGGAAAAGATGACAGTGAATCACCTGAGTTGATGTTTATTTCTCCAACTAAAACCAGTGTTCGTAATGATATATGTGCTTGTAGAGAACTCCATGCTAGCTTATCTGACTCTGATTCTTTGGTTTTTAGTGATAACCGGATAATTTTTTCTTGATTAATATTAATGGCAAGGCCAGCTACACTTTTGTGTGTTATTAGTGCTTCATCTCTAACCAAATACTGAGCGAATGAGCGAACAACATCATGCATATTGCAAACTGCATTGTCCGTGTACTGTTGATCCGGCAAATACTGAGCGAATGAGCGAACAACATCATGCAAATTTCCATCTTTTTAGTCATTTTCAAAATACAAATTTAAATCATTAATTTTATTTTAATATGTTTACAGGATCTAGTAAAACCATAATATTATGAGGGTGCTGGTACAGAAAAGGATAAAAGTTACATATGTTATTTCAATGTTTCTAACTCAATTAGAAAAAGGTATTTAAAAAGTTATACTACTCCTTTTGTCACCGAGTATTAGGTCTTCTAAAAATTTAGGACAAAATAAATTAACAAGAGAAAAGTCTACAGTCCCATCATTAAACACCTTTGTTTAGTCCTGATTGGCTTTTATAGTCCATAATATATATTGCACATTCTGATGAGATAGTGGAGCATGGAATTTACAGATATTATCTGATTGTTTGGCATGAGTCCTCCCCTAGGTGCTCCTCTGTAGGAGTCAGAGCTGGAGCCGGAGCCATATATATCAACCAGGACCTATGTAACTTGTGGGTTTGGGCTTGGTGGGTTCTCCAACATCCATATGTGTGTTGGATTAAACATTAAATACCAGAAGCCTTTTACAAGCAAAAGATATATAGTAAAAGTTTAGAAATCCTAAACTCATGACCATCTAAACAGTTGCGACCCCATAGGTATTAGTAACACTGTGTGTTAATGGTAGTGCATTAGCACCAACGAAAATTGACTAGCAACTATTGTCATTTGTGTAATGTAAGAAAACATTTAAAAAATATATATTACTACATGTTACTACTAATTAATGAAATGGTATCCGCCAATGCTATTTTCACCGTTGGTTCTATTACAACTGCCCATGAAAATATATCACCGCCGGTTCTGAATGGAACCGTGTCAAAATGAATTTCATAGCCAATTTGTGTCATGAACCGGGGGTGAAAACTAGCCTTGTTTTCACCGCCGGTTCAAGACACGAACCAGCAGTGCAAACTAGTCTCAAGTATATAACTTGTTGCAAACCCTACCCCACTCTCTCCCTCACCCATAGTACTTCCTGGCCGCCACTCCCTCTCCCTCAACCGCACACTACACAAAGCTTTTGTAGGGGCGGCTGGTGACCCTTTGTAGGGGTAGTTTTGCCAGCTGCCCCTACGAAGGGGTGGCTATAAATCGATGATTTGTAGGGGAGACTGGCCAACCGCCCCTGCAAATCATTTTTTAGGGGCAGCTGATGATTTATAGGGGCTGAAAATTCACGAAATCGGGCCATAAAATAGCAATTTTTTCTGAAAAGTCACGATATTTTTCGCGCGAAAATCATGCGCTTCGCAGCTACGAGGATCCAAACCTACAACCTCCCCCTCGCGTGTACCCTCCTCTACCACTGTACCTCACACTCACTTGTATCACAATGTTACTACCACTTTGTCGGATGAATAAATAACCAAAATAATAGTTAAAGATCTTGATGAGTTCTACACTTTTATGTTCATGACTTTTTCAGCTGAAATCATTTAATGTTTCAAAATGAAGCTTGAAGTTGTCATTTTTTTAAATTCAAAATTTAAATAGATAAAACACGGTCACATGAAAAGGTGGACAAAATAATAGCTATAAGAACATAAAAAATTGATAGAGCATGATTTTAGAAATTTTTTAAAAAAAATCATTAAATTTGAAGTTAGTATGAGGGAGCAACACTAATTACAAGTTTTAGCCACGGATTAAAAAGAGAAATCAGAGTTCTTCAACAGTTTCAAAATTGAATTTCAAACAGCATTTTGAAGCAGTAAATGATTTCACAAGAAAAAGTTGTAAACAGCAAAGTCGTGGCATTTTTCGCGCGCTTCGGGGCTGTGGAGATTCGAACCCACGACCTCCCCCTCACGCGTACCCTCCTCTACCACTGCACCTCAGACTCAATTGTGTCTATTGAATTTTGCTTCCCCATATATTATACTAAATCGAGCATAAATTGATTGTTTGAGGGTCTAAACGATGTCAAATGAAAAAGTTGTCAACTACAAAGTTTTGTAACTTTTTGAGATCTACAACTTTCGATTTGGTAGTTTTTCCATCCGAGGTCGTTTACGAAATTTGAATTTCAAATTTGAGAAATTCAAATGTAGTTTTAAATGACAAGATGATTTCAAATGAAAAATGTTATCAACTACAAAGTTTCATAACTTTTTGAGATCTATGACTTTTGTTTTTGCTGTTTGTCCATCCGAGGTCGTTTAAAAATTCAAATTTTAAATTTTTAGAAATTCAAACATAGTTTTCCTTGACAAGAAGATTTCAAATCAAAACGTTGTCAACTACAATGTTTTATATCTTTTTGAGATCTACAACTTTTATTTTGGTTATTTCTCCATCCGTGGTCATTTACAAAATTTAAATTTCAAATTTGAGAAATTCAAACAGAGTTAACATTGACAAGATGATTTCAAATGAAAAAGTTGTCAACTACAAAGTTTTATAACTTTTGAGATCTATAAGTTTTATTTTGGTCATTTGATCATTTAGCCATCCGACATAGTGGTAATAACATTATTGACAAATTTTACATATCCCTCTTATAGTTTATGGAACTATAAGAGAGAGATATAAATTTTGTGAACAATGTTAGTACCACTCTGTCGGATAAAGAGAAGATCAAAACAAAAGTTGTAGATCTTGATGAGTTCTACAACTTTTATGTTTATGACTTTTTCAGTTGAAATCATTTAATGTTTCAAAATGACGTTTGAAGTTGTCATTTTTTAAAATTCAAATAGATTAAACACACTCACATGAAAAGATGAACAAAATAATAGCTATAAGAACATAATAAATTGATAGAGCGTGATTTTAGAAAATTTTAGAAAAAATCATCAATTTGAAGTAAGTACGAGGAAGAAATACTAGTTACAAGTTTTAGCATGGATTAAAAAGAGAAATTAGAGTTCTTCAACAGTTTCAAAAAAAATTCAAACAACAATTTAAAACAGTAAATGATTTCAAATAAAAAAGTTGTAAATAGCAAAAGTCGCGTCATTTTTTGCGATTAACGAAAATCACGCGATTCGCGGCTGCGGGGATTTGAACCCGCGACCTCCCTCTCGCGCGTACCCTCCTCTACCACTGCAACTCAGACTCACTTGTGTCTATATTGGATTTTGGTTCCCATATATTATACTAAATCGAGCATAAATTGATTGTTTGAGGGTCTAAATGATGTTAAATGAAAATGTTGTCAACAACAATGTTTTGTAACTTTTTGAAATCAACAACTTTCATTTTGGTCATTTCTCTATCCGAGGTCATTTACGAAATTTGAATTTCAAATTTTTGAAATTCAAACATAGTTTTCCATGACAAGATGATTTCAAATGAAAAAGTTGTCAACTATAAACTTTCATAAATTTTTGTGATCTACAATTTTCGTTTTTGCTGTTTGTCCATTCGAGGTCGCTTAAAAAATTCAAATTTCAAATTTTTAGAAATTCAAACATAGTTTTCTATGACAAGATGATTTCAAATCAAAAAATTGTCAACTATAAAGTTTCATAACCTTTCGAGATCTACAACTTTTATTTTGGTAGTTTCTCCATTCGAGGCCATTTACAAAATTTGAATTTCAAATTTGAGAAATTCAAATGGAGCTAATGTTGACAAGATGATTTTAAATGAAAAGTTATCAACTATAAAGTTCTATAACTTTTCATGATCTATAAGTTTTATTTTGGTTATTTGATCATTTAGCCATCCGACATAGTGGTAATAACATTGTTGACAAATTTTACATATCCCTCTTATAGTTTATGGAACTATATGAGAGATATGTAAATTTTATGAACAATGTTAGTACCACTTTGTCGGATAATGAGAAGACCAAAATAAAAGTTGTAGATCTTGATGAGTTCTACAACTTTTATGTTTATTACTTTTTTTGGTGAAATCATTTAATGTTTCAACATGACGTTTGAAGTTGTCATTTTTTGGAATTTAAAATTCAAATAGATAAAACACACTCACATGAAAAGATGGAAAAATAATAGCTATAAAAACATAATAAATTGATAGAGCATTATTTTTAGAAAATTTTAGAAAAAAATCATCAATTTTGAAGTTAGGATGAGGGAGAAATACTAGTTACAAGTTTTAGCATGGATTAAAAAGAGAAATTAGAGTTCTTCAACAGTTTCAAAAAAATTCAAACAACAATTTAAAACAGTAAATGATTTCAAATAAAAAAGTTGTAAATAGCAAAGTCGCGTCATTTTTTGCGATTAACGAAAATCGTAAGCTTCGTGGCTGCGGGGATTCGAACCCACGACCTCCCCCTCGCGCGTACCCTCCTCTACCACTGCAACTCAGACTCACTTATGTCTATATTGGATTTGGTTCCCCATATGTTATACTAAACCGAGCCTAAATTATTTGTTTGAGGGTCTAAACGATGTTAGATGAAAAAATTGTCAACGACAAAGTTTTGTAACTTTTCAAAATCTACAACTTTCATTTTGGTGGTTTCTCCATCCAAGATCGTTTATGAAATTTGAATTTTAAATTTTAGAAATTCAAATGTAGTTTTCCATGACAAGATGATTTCTAATGAAAAAGATGTCAACTATAA